CTGATACCACCTGAACACCCCGGCCCTGCAGGACCCGAGGTAGTTACTCCAGACCTCTAGTACTGTCCTCACAAACCACCACGAGCCTTTACCGCGCACTTTGTCCTCACTCATGCGCGCCCTGAGAAACTTCCCAGGGGGTCACCTATCCCAAGACTACTCCCATGCAAGCACGCTTAACTTTGGAGTTCTTGGGTGATCAGCTCCCTTAAAAGGAGATGCACCTCTGTTGGTATGAGTAGTACTATTAATCCGTTTATATTAAATCTCAAGTGTTACAGTACAAGACAAAAAGAAGGCTAAATCCTGATTTATGACCTGTACCCGGTCGAGTATACCATGTACTCGATCGGGTACCAACTACTTTCAATCAGATCAATCAGAAAACAAAGGGGCGTGCAGGGAAAGATTTAGCCACGATCAGTTGTCGTACCCGATCGGGTACACCGACACACCCAATCGGGTATGCCTTTTATTTCTACTTTGAAATCGATCGAGTATGCCTCGAATTAACTTTTTTACACATACCCAATCAGGTACCCTATGTGTACTCGACCGGGTACCCGAGCTGCACTCCCAAAAAGCCTATAAATACACCTCCTTCCCTTCAGAATTAGAGACCAATTCCTTTACACTTCTAAGCTCAGTTTATAATAGCATTTCTTTATATTTTTCTAGCATGTTTAGTCTCCAAATGAGGAGCTAAACTCTCATTTCTTGGTATTGCTCTTGAAGCTTGTTGATTATTAAAGTTGTGAGTTATTTTCTTAACTTCTTTCCTTGAATATTAATTCTTCTTTTAAATACTATTTCTATATCAATGTTGGGGAGTGTTACTAAGATGACAATTAGTTAACATCTTGATATTAACTATGGTGGGATTCATCTTCTTTAATATTCTTCCTTGAGTATTAATTAATTCCTATTCACATTTCAAATTAATATTTTGAACATTACTAAAAGGATCAACTAGTTTTGTTTCATATATTAATTATTACTAGAAACGATCAACGAACCGATGGTCAATCGTTGATGGTTTCACAAGTAAGTAACTTCGGTTTATTAATGCACGGTCGTGGTTAATAAACTTAAGAGGGATTAATTTTGTTAGTTAAACCGAAACCGTTATGTTAAGGTTATCAATCTCAATTGATTTCATCAAGGAGTTAAGAGATTAAATGCTACTATCAAGTCGGTATATGGCGGTGTTCTATACTTGAATAATAGTAAGGGTTATTAATGAACGGTCGTTGTGAATAACTACCCTCGATGAATTGGATATACTCCTCGATTGAGTATTCGAGAGGGGATAAGTTATAGATATAACCATGATCGACTAAAATATATCAACAAGTGGAAAGTAGCAATGCCAAGTTCTTTTTATCTTTGAATTAAATCACATATAAGTCGTTCATCTTCGTGTTTAAATTAATTAAATCACTCAATCAAAACCCCCCTTTATTTACTAGTTTTACTAAAAAGAGAATTATTCCTTTCCCTGTGGATACGAACTCTACTTCACCTATACTACGTATAAGTTCTAGTATCGAATATTATCACTACAAGAAACTAGGTGTTTTACCCACACATAAAATAACTACACATATTAAGTGTGGGTATTTAGCCACACATAAATTAAAGATGTGTGGCTAAATACCCACACTTAATATGTGTAGTTATTTTATGTGTGGGTAAAACACCTAGTTTCTTGTAGTGATAAGAAAAAGAAAAAAATATAGTATTTAAGTATATATGTTTCTATTTCTTCTGAGCTTTTTAGTATATGGTAAAATATCGTTCACTGAACGAAATCACCTACCACTCAAACCCCGAAATAGAACAAACTCTTGAGCGGTTGAAAAACAAATTCTCAACTCCGACTCGAGAGAATCATCAAGTGCTAGTTCTCAATCTAGCGAGAACGAAGAGCCATTCACTATGGCTCAAGAAACAAGAACATTGAGGGAGCTCACGACTCCGAATCTTAATCAACAACCCCTATGTATCACTTTTCCAACTCTTGATACGGGGGTCACATTCGAGCTAAAATCTGGGCTCATTCATCTACTTCCATCTTTCCATGGACTACGAGGGGAAGATCCAAACAAACACTTGTTGGAGTTCCATATTGTGTGTACAAGCATGTGCCCCAATGACGTGTCCGAGGAGCAAATCAAACTGAGGGCCTTCCCATTCTCTTTGAAGGATACCGCGAAGGACTGGCTATTCTATCTTCCTTCGGGAAGTATCACTACATGGCCATAAATGAAAAAGGCTTTCCTTGAAAGGTACTACCCCGCTTCTATTTCATCATATCTCAAGAAGCAAATAAGCAACATTGTACAAAAAGATGATGAATCCTTATATGAATATTGGGAGAGATTCAAGAAGCTATGTGCTAGTTGCCCCTATCACGGATACACCGAACAAGACCTCATTCTCTACTTTTATGATGGTCTTGTGGATCAAGATCGCCGCATGGTGAATGCAGCGTGTGGAGGGGGCATTGTCAACAAAACCCCTTCTCAAGAAAGAGATCTCATCTCGGAGTTGGCCGAAAACTCTAGAGACTATAACGGGCGGTCAGCAACTCGTAGAGTTGCCGCTGCCGAATCAACATCATTATTGGAGAGTCAAGTTGCCGGCTTGACTTCTTTAGTCAAGGATTTCCTATTAAAATCCAAGACCCAAGAAGTCAAGGTCTGCGGCATTTGTACACAACAAGGGCATCCCTTTGACTCATGCCCAACTCTTCAAGAAGACAATACAGAGCAAGTCAACCCCTTGGGTTTCCAAGGACATCAACAAAGGAGGTACGACCCATTCTCAAACTCTTACAACCCCGGATTGAGGGATCATCCAAACTTGAAGTATGGAAACCCTCCGCAATCCAACCCATCTTCTCAATCTAGTATGTCTACGGAGGACATGATTCGAACTCTTGCTACGAGCATGGGCACCTTGCAACAAAACGTGTTGCAATTTCAACAAGAAACAAAGTCAAGCATTCAAAAATTGCAAACTCAAGTTAGCCAAATTTCGAATGCTGTGAGTCGACTTGAAGCAAAAGATTTGGGTAGGCTCCCTTCCCAAACTGAGCAAAACCCAAGACAACAAGTCAATGTCATCATGTTAAGGAGTGGTCCAGAATTGCAAGCAAGGGAAGTTGAAGAAGAAAATGTTGAAAAAGATGAGGTTGATTGTAAGGAGGAGGAACCAACGAAGATCAAATTTCCTCCACTTCATCATATGAGCCACTCCCTCCATTCCCTGAGACCCTGAAAGACACAAGGAAGCTAGAGAATGATCCGGACATCTACGAGACCTTCACAAATTATGAGGTAAATATCCCACTCTTTAAACTAATCAAAAGTGTTCCCGTTATGCAAAGTTTTAAAAGAACTATGTACAATGAAAAGGAAAAATAAACTGAAGGGGAAACAAGAGGTCAAGCTTAGTGCATGTGTCTCAGCAATTTTTCAGAGGAAACTCCCCGACAATGTAGCGATCCGGGCATGTTCACTATTCCTTGCAAGATAGGAAACACCACATTTTCTAAAGCCTTGTTGGATTTAGGGGCATCTATAAATGTTATTCCCTACTATGTGTATAAATCCCTACAACTTGGCCCACTACATCTGTAACGCCCCACCCGGACCGACCAGCCGATCCGGGCGGCGCGTCACCTAGCGGAAAAACCGGAACAGATTTACTTGAAAGAATTCTCGTTATTCGGGAAAAATCAACTTTTAGTTCATAGCAAGAGAATTCTTCACTTAAAATAACGCGTATTAATTCCAAAACAACTTCAGTAGTGAATACCCAAAAATGTCAAACTCAAAATGAGTAGAATGTTATTAAAATAGACATAACGTGAACATCATAAAATACTTGTAAGACTGCAACAGAAGTTCTTAGGAATTAAAATTGACATTTTAAAGTCCTTATTAAAAACATCTAACACAATGACATGCATTAGTCCTATGCCTCCTTCCATCCCAGCGCTCCTAGCGGATTCCGTGCTCAACCTACGGGTAGGAAAAACACACAACTACCCGCTCAGCAATGTGCTGAGTGGTACGGTAATAACATAACAATAATATTTACATATCAAAGAACATATTAACATATCATAATTCACATCTGATCAGACAAACATATAACATACTTGGGTGAACCGAACAACTGTTATAAAAATACAGACATTTACATACAGAACAGAATCTTACTCAGATATCATAAATATCATATACTTTTTATTCTGAGATTATTATATTCTTCTTGTGTACAGAAGAGAAGCATATTCAGATATCACAATTATCAGATAATTCTTATTCTGGAACTTATCGACGTTATCGTTGAAAAATACATATTCATTTAGCCTTGAACTCTAGAATCTGGACCTAGACCGAGGAATACTAACGGTAAGGAATACGGTCGATCGAAGTCTGTACCCACATTACCCAGAAGGAATATGGAAACGTAATCGCCGGAGCTACACGTACCAATCCCTGACAGAAGCTAGCTGAACAGAAAGGGCGAGATCACCGAAGAGACCCGAACCTTAACAGGAGAGTAATAGTGATCTAAAAATATTTCAGGGGTGTACAATGTACACTAAACAGAACAGGAGTGTACGAAGTACACTAAACAGGAGAACACTATTTCCTCTAAACAGAATTTCAGGAGTGTACATAGTATACTAAACAGAACAGGAGTATTCTCGTCAGAGTACCGGACCAAGAGCAAGGCTTTAAGAAAACATATTCTCCTAATTTAAATACAGATGTCATATTTAAACTTTACATAGCAAACCATCGTTAAATAATTAACTAATTGACATCAGCCCAATTTCATGTTTCAGGAATCGATTCATTTATCAAGGTTTAAGAATTTATACTTTGACATAATATGACTCAATAAAATATGTCGTATAAATGTATCCAGATTACTTTAATTTTCATACTGCTAATTATAATAAGTCATTTTAATTTATATACCTCATCTCAACATCACATATCAAGTCACATACAACCAGTGGCGGAGCCAGAGGTTTGTCCAAGGAGGGGCAAACCAAAGACTAAAAATTTTAAAGTGCGTGTCCAAAATATAATAAGAACAACAATAGCGTAATAAATTAACAAAAAATTATAGTTCATTACATACTACTTGATTTACTTCTGCAACCTAGGCAAATCAATCCTACGAGTTTTCATATTTTGAAAATGCTGCATAATAGCTTCATTATCAATTGCTTGAAAAATGTCTCTTTCGATGTAGCATACCAAGCAATCCGTAAGATAGTCATCTCCCATCTTATTGCGAAGATCTGTCTTGATAATATTCATCGCTGAGAAAGCTCTTTCAACTGTGGCTGTTGCAACTGGTAACACTAGAGCCAACTCAATAAGACGATAGACCAAGTGAAAAGATTTGTGAATTGTAAGCTCAACCATCTTCTTAGACACTTCACCAATACTTTGTAAAGTGGAAAATGCTTCATTTTCTCTCATCTCATATATCCAAACTTGGAGTTGTTCTTTAAGCTCCATTTGCTCAACAGCTGAAAAATCAGATGAATATAACTCCGCAAGACTGAGTAGCTTTGACTCACAGAAATTGGAAAATTTATCTTTAGGATCAAGGCAAGCTAAACAAGCGAGTAAATCTGTATTTGACTCACTAAAGCGATTCTCCATTTCCAGATTGACCTGGTCTATAACCTACAATAAGGTAATCATAAAAAGTAGTAGTAATAGTAATAATGATAATGATAATAATAATAACAACAAATAATAAATAATTTAAATTTTAATGAAAAAATACCTGATAAAAAATATCAGCTTGAAAGTGATGATAATTTGTTACCGGATGGCGAACGCGTCTAGAACAATGAGTTGTATCTTCCATGTTTAGAATGTCAATTTTATTCTTCACACAAAATTTACTGACATCTTCTAATAGCTCTTCCCATCCACTTTCTCTCAAATCTTGGAACTTCTCTTTAGTACTTTTAATCAAGCTCACAGCCTCAAGAATGTTCTGATCTTTTTGTTGCAAGAAATGTGACAACATATTCGTCAATCCCAATACCTTCTTCATCAAGTGGGCTCCTCCATTTTTTCAACCAATTTATCCATCAACTCATAGTCTCATACTCCTAAATATAACAAAAATAAGTATGAATTAAAGATGTTTCTTATACAAATAGCATTAAATTGCATCTAGAACTGAGATTTGAGGATTCACACAAATAATTTCTCACTTTTCGTTAGGGATGAGAGCAAATAATTAATATGGGCATAAATTGGCAGATGAAAAACTTACTTGAAAATTGCAGAATCTGAGAACAAATGGGGAGAACTGGAGAAGGAAGGTAGATTTCTGTTGGGGAGTACAGTCGGAGAGGGAGCGGGCGATGCTGCTTCTCAGTTCTCACGTTCGCTGCCTGCCTGCGTTCTCAACTGCTCGATTCATTTTTTTTGGCGGAGTGGGAAGGGATTGCCGACTGCCTAGATCTTTTGTTAATGAAGCTTTGAATTTTTAACCCACACAATGGCTTTAGACCTTAGTGATTACGTTTTGAATTGTTATTTTTTTCATTTTTGGGCTTAGGCTTTGGGATTGCCTAGGTGGCTTGGGCTTTAGAATTGTTTTTTTTTCTTTCATTTTTCTACTTATGCCCGTTTTTTTTACTTAGACTAGATGCTCATTTGTCTCATTGACTCATTAATCCCCTTTTATTCTATATTTCATTTTTTTTATTTTTTCTGAAAATACTTTTTTATTTATTTTAACACTTCATCTTAAAATAACCTTAAGTTGTACTTATTGTTTTTAAATAAAGAAGCCGGGGCAAGAAACATATTATAAGTAATACTAGTAAAAAAAATTAGTCGGAGCGGGGGCGCTTGCCCCCCCTTGCCCCCCCCCCCCCTAACTCCTCCACTGCATACAACCTAATCGAGTATTAGTACATGCATATTCTACCTACGTACATATGTTATACTTTATGTACATATTACATATATTAACAGCTATTAAATTCATTATTAATATAATCACATATCCGTATTTTTAACTCTTTCTTTGTATAGCGAGATCTAACTCGAACTCTCGAAGGATTATTTAGCACTCAATACATGGAATATCTATTACATTAGTGGCACACAGATATACATGTATATGTATATACTTACTGCTTATACCCAGCAATACACATATGTCCTATATGGATGTTAGCATAGCATATTAGCATGCATGTATATATGTACACCCCACTTCTATTATGTGTACATAACACTTAATAAGTATGTGCATGCATGTAAAAATCGGTACTTTTGAGACTTCCGTATTAGTTCATATGTGTATTTATACATATAACAAGTAGATACATTTAATACGAGTGCATGTTCTTAGGAGCTTGGTGTATAAACATGTAATCCTTTAACCCTAAATATATAGCTAGATTAAATTTAAAGGATCACTTATCACTTAATAATATCTGAAATTATTATTCTTAATTTTGGCTGATTCGTACATAATAAACACTCGCTAAATAGCATTTAGTTATTTCATAAATTGGTACTACGTAGCTTACATCACATAATTCTTGCATTCATATCTAAATCTATTACTAGTATAATATATATTCCATTCATATTATAAATTTCCAGTAAATATTAACGGCTGGACAACATGTACTCTCGTAATTAAATCATTAATTTTCATATTATTCATTTTTCGGGGTTAATTATACTTCATTTCCAGTTGACCTTCAGATTGAATAAAAATGTAATTACTATAAATCAATAATTGTTATAAATTTGAAGAACACATTTTTAGATCACACAAAACATCTCTAAGGCTAAACGGTGTTCATCATCCCCATAACATAACAGGAAACGGGGACGGAAATTATACTAAAATGGGGTGGAAACGTACTGACTTTATTGTGAAGAATCTGTTGAATCGGAATATGACTAGGCTGGAATCGTAACTCCTCCTCACATCACCGATTGTTCAACTCAGTTGCTAGTTTCTCTCCTCTTGTTTTTCTTTAGTTTTTGTCAGGAAAAGTAATTCCCCAACTAGGTCACATGGTTATATATATAAACTGTTAATATTACGAGGCTAAGGTAAAGCCTATATGTAGAGACATCGCAGTTAATAACCGCAGTTAGTATATGTAACCGCAGTTAAAGCCTATATCAGCTATCTATTTATAACCGCAGTTAGAAGCGCAGTTATCTTCAAGAATTCATTTGAATGCCTTTCCGATTGACGTTTTAGCTGAAATTTGGTATGAGTAAACTAGACTTGATGAATAAGATGCTCAAAAAGTTTCATAAAAAAATTCCACCGGGAACCACCCCAAATGGCGACGGCCGGACAGAGCCTCCTAAATAAGGGCTTATTTGACCTTTTTTGGTTAGTACATGGGCCTATTTGCACCTTTTCCCTATATATATATAAACTATATATAAAGAGACATCGCAGTCTCCACTATCGATCCAATGCCTGACCGCATTACGAGGCTAAGGTAAAGCCAAACTCCACCGCTTGTTGATATATAACCCTTGTCTAGCTTTAATTGGTGTATCCTCGCCTCCCAATTAGGCCAATGAAAAAAATGTATTCTTAAATCAAATTATCCCATGTATACGTGTGAGATCATTCAGCCCTCATCATGACTTCATTTGTCCTCATTGATACAGAATGCTTCTCGTGACACTACCTTTAATTTATAATGTTTTATTGCATGTCAAATTTGACTTTTCCTATCCCTGCAAGCATTTCTGATAATTTCAGATCATAAAATTTATTTATTTGGGTTTGGATTAATGGTATAGTCTCCAGACTCTCCACGCCATTTTTATATTTTCTTTCCAAACTTTTGTCTAAAAATTTAGGGGAACGGTTAGAATTATATTTGGTAATAATGAAATGCGTATAACATTACTAGGATACTTTCATTTAAATGATATTTTAAATACTAATATTTATTGTTTAGTTAATAATCATTTAACAATTTAGACTTAGTGAGAAAGAATATCAATTCAAATTTACGTTACCGACTAGACCGGGTTTCAGGGCGTTACAACATCAAACTGGTGTAGTGATTCAACTAGCGGATCGTTCTAATACTTACCCAAAGAGTGTATTAGAAGATGTGCTAGTAGAAGGAGAAAATATGTTTTTTCCTGTTGACTTCTATGTCCTTGACATGGGGGATGATGACCAAATGGCACCCATCCTGTTGGGTAGACCTTTCCTAAAGACCGCAAAAACAAAAATTGACGTGTCAAGTGGTTCATTAACTTTAGAGTTCGATGACCAAAAAGTAGAGTTCAATATCTTTGACTCTACAAAAAACAAATTAAAGATCAATCCCTTTGATCTTTAAATGTTTTTGCACCACATACATCAACCATTTTTGTTGAAGCTGAGAAAATCCCATTTTTTGAAAAAGAAGAACAAATTGAGCATAAGGAATCACCTTTGATTGAAGAGGAATCGCTCATATTTTCAACAAAAGAATTAATCCCGTCTGAGAATGGAGTGATAACAATGAAGAAATCCCGGCCTTACTGGAAAAGGCCGAGGAAGAAAAATGAAACAAAGGATGTTCATGATCCCACATAAACCAAAAACAAAAAAAATAAACGTCGTGCCACGACGTTAAATAAGGCGCTTCTTGGGAGGCAACCCAAGTCAAGTAGTTAGGATTTTATTTTTTTCTTCAATTTAATTTGAGAGAAAAGGGAGAGAGGGAACTAACCACATGTTTTGGAGAAGAGAAAAAAATGCAAGGTTTGTGCAGTTAAAGACATACCCGATCGGGTACCAATAAGTAACCGGTCGCGTACAGGTTAAAAAAAGAGAAACCGAGTTCAATACTCGATCGAATGAGCAAGATTTTAAAAAATACATGCATACTCGATCGGGTACAATTACATACCCGGTCGAGTATTTTCAGAGAGGCAAAACCAAAAGAAGCCTACCTTGAACACTCGATCGAGTACAGGGCTCAAATTGTGCAAAGGGACATATACCCGATCGGGTATCATTTCCCACCCGATCGGGTATTTCTGGAAAAACGAAAAAATAAAGCCACTGTCTAGAGTACCCGATCGAGTACATATCATTACTTGATCGGGTATACCTGCATTACCAACAGATAAAAACCCTGCCTCCCAGACCCGATCGAGTACACCGCTCAAAACGGGACAAAACACACATACTTGATCGGGTATAGCAGGGTACTCGATTAGGTATACCTGCGATTTAACCCCAAACCACACCCCAAAACACTTCATATTCTCCAAACACTCTCCCAAATTCGAACCCCTCTTCCCCCCAAACTCCATTTTTGGACCTTCTCTCTACCATATCTCCCTCATTCCTCCACCAAATCATCCCATTCGACCACCAAAATACTCCCCTCACTCTCCTCTACACATCCATACCTACAAACCCCTTTTTCCCCCCAAATCTCCAAAAATCCAAAAACCCTACCCGCTATTTCGAATTTTGGGTTTTCAAGCTCCAAAACACCAACAATGGCTCCAAGAAAGAATAGGGGAGAAAAGCTCCAACGCCATGGCACCCATCTCGGGCTACGAGGACTTCCATTTCGTCGACGCCGAACACCGAGCTAGAATCCTCGCCACGATAGCAAGGCAAGTTAAACCATCCCGTTTTCTTCGCCATAAAGCTCTTCGTGAATTAGGTATTCTTAAGAGCACTAGAATTTTTTTTCATAAGTTGGGTATGGACCTTATTTTCAATATGAAATACAACTCAAACGAAAAAATTATCTATGAGTTCATTAGTTCGGCTCGTTTTGAGAGCAATGAGGATGATCTTAGGGATGATACACTCTCGTTTCGTTTGCTAAACCGAGAATATTCAATAACGAAACTTGAGTTTGCCGAACATTTTGGCATCCCCGTCCCCTACGAGAGAGAGATTTCGGACAACACCGTAATGGGTCATGCACTTTGGACCAAAATGACCGGAGAAGTGAACTTTAGCTCCTCCCAACTATACATAAGCCATGTTCATCATCCCATTATCCGGATATTTTTAAAGTTTTTGTCAAATTGTATACTTGGGTGCCCCAACAATCATCATACAAGGATGGGGGACGTGTGTTTGATGACCACGTTTTTGTTCCGTCGCGCTGTGGATTTTAATTAATCTTTGTAATTTGATGTGGGCACATCTCAAGAAAGAAAGCTTTGCTAAAGGCCCAATTGTATTGGGTGGGGTGATTATGCACTTGGCAACAAAGTTTGGGTATACAGATACCTCTCCTATACCCGACTATTGTTTAATGAATATCACTTGGTTAGGCAACTCGGGGTGTACTACTTTTTCTCACACGGTATATGGTGAAGATCATCCCCGACATGTATACAATTGGCTCATACACCCAAAACCGGCAAGACATTTCCCCTTGCCTAACCCGGACCTCCCCAAACTCCATTACAACAGAGATGTGCCCCATTACTTGTTCCCACACCTCCTCCCACCACACCTACAAGAACCACAAGCCCAAAACCTCCCCGAAAACCAACCCGACCAAGAACCTCAAGCCGACCATGATGAGCCCGAAGCCATGCATGGACACATTCCCGAACTGCCCCAAGGTCCTCCACCTCCCGATTACTTCCAACAACTGCTTGATGGGTTCAACAAAGTGACCGACAAAGTTGGAAGGTATCGAGAGGAACAAAGGGCACGATTTCAACGACTTAAGGAGCAATGGGCCGAAGACAACCGGAGGTACGAAGAAGATCAACGTAGGTTCTATGGCCTATGTACTCCTACATGGCTCATCAAGCCTCGTTCCATACTATGGCTCACCCACCCCCACCCCCCTCTTGGTATGATCCCACTCATTGGGGTAACTTTGGAGGATCTAGCTCCGGGGGTAGAGGTTATGATGGCGGGGATGGCGGAGATACTCACATGGGCGACGGGAGCTTTGGAGGCGGTTTTGGAGGCGGCTACTATGGCGGCGAAGGTGGGCACTAGGGACAATGCTTGGACTGAGAAGGGGGGAGACTCCTCATGGTATGTAATTTTATTTTCTACCTTTTACTATGCATGGATTTTCTTTTACTCTTTGTAAACAAAAAGAAAAAAGAAAATAATAAAAGAAAAAGAAATGCTAGTTAGGTTGAAAACCCAAAAATGGGCAATCTAAGCAAAAAAGGTTTATAAAAAAATGAAAGAGTTAGGGAGGATGGAAAAACAAAAAGAGATGCTAGGATGAAAACCTGAAAAGTCTCCTAGGCAAAATGAGAGTTATGAGAGAAATATTTGTTGTGTGCAGGACCTCATTTGATCTCTTGGGAGAAAGAAGAGAAGAAGCAGAAAAAGTGGCAAGAAGATGGAGCATAGAAGATCACAAAACCCAAGAAAGAATGTTGTTTGGAAACTCATTTTTATTCCTTGGTTGTCTTAGTTCTTTCTTTCTTGAACTCATGGAAAACTCTTAAACTGTTTGGAACATTTTACTTTACTCGAGGTCGAGTAAAGAACTATGTGTGGGGGAGTTGATACGCATGTAATTTCCGTGTGTATGTTTGTGTTTTTAACTACTTTTGGTTGTTTAATATTTCGGAAATTACACACTTTCGGTTTAATAGTTATGTTTGTAAAATTATTGTAATATGTTTAGATTAGGTTTATTCTGAGCTTAAACAGGTCCAAGATCAATCAAATGATCATTGGTGAAGGAAGGTGCAAGGGTACAAGACAAAAAGAAGGCTAAATCCTGATTTATGACCTGTACCCGGTCGAGTATACCATGTACTCGATCGGGTACCAACTTGACTTTCAATCAGATCAATCAGGAAACAAAGGGGCGTGCAAGGAAAGATTTGGCCACGATCAGTTGTCATACCCGATCGGGTACACCGACACACCCGATCGGGTATGCCTTTTATTTCCACTCTTAAATCGATCGAGTATGCCTCGAATTAACATTTTTACACATACCCGATCGGGTACCCTATGTGTACTCGATCGGGTACCCGAGTTGCACTCCTAAAAAGCCTATAAATACACCTCCTTCCCTTCACAATTAGAGACCAATTCCTTTACACTTCTAAGCTCAGTTTAGAATAGCATTTCTTTATATTTTTCTAGCATGTTTAGTCTCCAAATGAGGAGCTAA